TTCCTCCTTTATTTCTTTTGTTTCATTCTTTCCTTACCGGCGCTCTACAAGCGCACCTCTACCCGCGCTCTACAAGCGCACCTCTGCACGCGCTCTACAAGTGCATCTCTGCTGACGCTCTACAAGCGCATCTCTACCCGTGCTCTGCACGCACTCTACCTGTGTTCTCTGCACACACACTCTTATCTGCGCCTTGCACGTGCATTCGTACCCGTGCTCTCTACAACACACTCTCACCCGCGCATTCTGCACGCGCACTCTTACTCGCGCTCTCCACAGCGCACTCTTGCCCGTGCTTTTTGCACAAGCACTCATACCCTTGCTCTCTACAGCGCACTCCTGCCCGCGCTCTCTGTAGCTCACTTTCTGCCCATGCTTAGCCCAACGCACTCTCTGCCCAGGCTCAATTCTGTGCACCTCCACCCGCACCTAATCCTACATACTTCTTGCACCATCACTTGTTCATGTCCCTCTCTCACACCTGCACCTTCACTCCATATCACTTTTACCTACATATTCTTACCCCTTTTACCTCCTTTACACCTGCGCCTAGCCATTCACACTTGCTATTCTTTCTTCCTTAAACTACACCCTTTTTAATCCTTTTATTCTATCGTCTTCTTATCTCATCTTCGTTGCTGACTGCACCCCTCATCACTTGAAACACTTTACCAGGGGAGATTCTGAGATAGTATTTTAGAGTCTTAATTCTGGGATCGCTGCTCTAACTACCTTCTCATACAGTGAATTGAGGTTGCAAGAGGCATTGCTTCTCTTGCACCCATTTACTCAAGTTGGAGTCATCCTGATTTAGTCTTCCTTAGAATTCCTATTCTCTTGCTACTTTAATCACCTAGTCATAGGTCAGGCTGAGAGAGTCTTTCTTCTCACCCATTTCTAAACTCCTCTTTTATAATATTTTGTAACAGACACACACACACACACACACACCACCCCCCCCCCAACACTTGGACAAGTTGATTGAAAATTCGCTCAAAGTCTCTAGGGATTGGTAGGCTGCTGCGCCCAAAACAATGAATATATTTTGAACAATTTGGGGGAAATGCCATATGCATAAAAACAAACACAATCTCGAAGTTTAGAACAATGGCATTCATGTAGGTCGAATCACTCATCTAAAGGAGCAGGCTTAGCAAGTCAGATCACCAACTTTGGGGAATCGGAGATCCTATAGACGTTTCGTAAGAAAATCAATGTCTTGTCTGAATTGAGAATAGCAATTCCATTTCTCGAACCACATAGATATACATTAAATGGTGAGCAGCTATCCGATGACCTAGATGTGCGTTCTAACTCAGTGGTTTTGAATAACCAGAGAAGTACCTAGTGGTTGCTTTCATTTCTTGAGCAGTGAATGTGGTGTAGGCAACAAAAACAGCATGTGGTAGAAATGTCTAAGTGTTCGAGAGGGGCTTTGCAACATCAAAGCTATTGTTTAAAAGGGTAGGTGTGGGTTTACTAAGTCTTATCAAAGCCCTCGTAAAAAAGTTTGCACTTGCAAACTCTCAAACTTTTCTCTAACTTGTGTTTTATGTTATGCAAAACACTCTAAAACGAGTGTTTTGCTTACTGGCACCTAGCAAAGTGAGTGCTTTTGGTAGAAGGAAGGAATAAAAGGAATTGCTTTCCTTAGTCTCAGTGATTCAAAAAGCGGACCGCCCAACGCCTAGGCAGGCACCTAGGTGGTCCAGAAGGCCTGGGCGCGTCGCCAAGGCCTAGGTGGCCAATCTGGGCAGTCGATCCCTCGGCAGCCGCCTAGGCGGTACAGAACCAGCGTAGGCGAGCACCCAGTGCCCAGCCCTAGGTGGCTGCCTAGGACCTGCGCCCTGCCCAAGGGCGGAAAAACCATTCGGTGAGGGCATTTTTGTCCTTTTTTTTTTGTTTTTAGGGGCCAAAATTAGGGGATTTTTTGATGATGAGTGAATGATGATTGATGAATGTTGATTGTTGAATAATTAATTAATTATTAACCTTTGAAGTTTGAACTTTGATTGAAGTATTGTGTATTGATTATTGAACTATTGAAGATTCTTTTAAGTCTTCGAGTATTACTGTCATAGTTTCATAATTCAATTTTGTTTTCTTCCTCATGGTGGTACTGGTGTGATACTATTTAATAACTTGGTTTGATAATTTGGTTGGCTGGAAAATTTTAAGTTTTATTTGGATATGGAGTATGAACCGACTTATGGATTATGGTTATACTTATGGAGTGTGTGCTAAATGCTAAATATCTACCAATTTAAAGAATTTATTCCATTTAGATGTAACGAGAAGATAAAATATCTACCAATTTCAGGTGAAGAGAACCAATGAGAGCTTAAGAGTGATTACTGGTGAGGAATCATTGCTCGATAAAAAGCCCATATCTTTGTTTTGGTTATGGATGAGTTAACTAGGAATCTATAGTATGAGTTACAATGGTGTATGTTGTTTGTAGATGACATAGTTTTGATTGATGATACTAGAGACAAAGTTAATGCAAAGTTAGAACTTTGAAGGGATGTTCTAGAATCTAAAGGTTCTAAAATTAGCCAGACTAAGATAGAATATATAGAATGCAAGTTTACCAATAAGACGAATAGAAACGAAGAAGTAGTTAAGATTGAGGGCCAAGAAATACCTAAAAGAGATTGTATATCTTGCATTAATAATTCAAGAGAATAAGAGATTGAGGATGATTGTCGTGCAGAGAATTAGTGCTCGGTGGACGAAGTAGAGATGTGTATCTGGAGTTTTATGTGATTTCCGCATGCCAAGTTTTATAGGACGGCTGTAATAGCAGCCATGCTTTATGGGGCTGAAGGTTGAGCAGTCAAGAAACAACATATTTATAGGAAGAGTACAGATGGATGAGTGACAAGACAAGATAGTATAGAATTCGGAATAAATACATACAAAGGAAATTAGGGGTGGTTCCAATAGGCGATGAGATGAGGGAATATAGACTTGGGTAGCTGGGCATGTATAGTATAACCTATTACAGCATCTGTTAGGAAGGATGGTTTGGTTCAAGCGGCAGGTTCTAAAAAGGCAAGGGGAAGGCCCAAAAGGATATGGATGGAAATAGTGATTAGATATATGGTGATTTATGGTCTGACTAAGGGTATTGCCCTTAAGCAAGCAGAATGGAGGAAAATGATTCGTGTAGCTGATTCAAATAGTTGGCATATATATATATATATATATATATATATATAGAGAGAGAGAGAGGAGGAGAGAGAGAGAGATGTACTTACTTTACGTAACAACTAGTGTAGACGACTAATAAGTAGGTTCGACGACGACTAATTAATTACGACTACCGTACGAAC